CTTCGAGGGGCGAAGGCTGGGGAGGCTTTGCGGGGCGGGGAGGGGGGCTTGCCTCAGTCTCAGCCACCAGCTAGGGTCGAGGTTGGGGTCAGGGAGAAATTATTCGGCGGAGGACCCGTCAGGAGGCGGCCGTGCCCCTCGCAGAGGGGCGGGCGGGCTGCCGTGAGGGACACGGAGCTCCCGTCCGTCCGTCCGTCCGTCCGGGCGGGACACGGTCCCTAGGCGGGGGAGAGGGGGAAGGTGGCGAGCGGGGCACGGAACAGCCCTGAACAGCCTTCCCCTGACGGCTGGCGGGGAAGGCGAGGACCAGCCCCCAGGAGGGAGACGTTCCGGGGAAGCGAGGACGGGCCGGGGCAGCCCGGGCCGCGGACAGCCGGTGCTGCAGCTCCTCGGCGCGGGGGTGGCGGTGGGATCACCCCCTGCGGGCACCACGGCCCAGCTGCTTTTTGGCAACTGGCACTGCCACCGGTGGGAAATAACCTTGGCTTTCGGGGATTTTCTAGACCTCTCAAAGGCAGCGATTTACCTTATCGTTTTAGCAAGTCCCATTCTGACGACAGAGTATTGTAGCGGTTGCTAGCTGGAGTTGCAACTCCCGAGCTCAAAGTAGCAAAGACTTTTGCAGGATTTAGTCCACTTCTTGTTTATTCGTCTTCCCAATTTTTACGCACGCTTTAAGTATTGACCTTTTTTTATTTAAGCTGCTTAGTGGCGACTGCGACCTACGGCCATAAGATACTAAGGTATGCAAACCTCAAGATTTGGAGCACCAGCCGGGGTTGGCTATAGGGGCCGAGAGGAATAGGCCAGTATCAAACACTACATATTTTAAATGGTATTTTGTTTGCATACAGCATGAATTCTCTTAATTCTAGGTATTCAGGTACCTAGCCATAGCTTGGAGGCCAAATACCAAGACAGACTGGTCCTTGTTCTGGCCAGGCAGGTCTTACATTTTTACCCTCTATCTGTTGGTAGCATATCGAATATCCAAAGCATTGTTTCTTACAGTGAGTGACCTACATCTCACATGAAATTATGCCACTAATTCAGCTACATCAAAAAAAAAAAAGGGAGAAATTAAAAGACAGCACCTATTTTGCTCTACTTCCACTGGCAAAACTTAAGAGGTTTTAAGCTTTTTCTCTTCTGAAACCAGAAATGAGTAAATAGAATTTTTTTTCTTAAGTAACAAAGGACATTTCTGAACTTAGATGTAAATTTCTGACATTCAGATTCCTCTTAAAGAATGGGGAAGGAAAACAAAATGGCAGAAGGGTAGAATGAGTAAATTCTGGACAATCACCTATTTAGGTAAGCATACAGAAGTAGTAGCTCATGTCCTTTATTCATTTTGGCCTGTTCTCAAGAAACAGGTGTTTTAAGCCATCTACAAATTTTCCTTTTGAAAAATGCACTTAACTGAAAGCTAGCCCTATGTTTCTGTCTGGCCCGTAACAGCAGTATAAATAAAAAGCATGACTAGGCAAACAGTTAAGGCTTCAACCTCCTCTAGCTCAGAGCTAACATCCATCATTATCAGAAGCTTACGGCAATGCCAAGTCCTACTTTTATCTTATGTAATGTAACCTTTAAAGAATAAGTAAGGAAGATGCTTTCATTTTACAGAGCTTCTGTGGGTAACTGTGACAAATAATCCTCACTGTGTGGACTGTTTTATTTCAAGACTATTCTAGAGCATCCCTTGTCACCTGTGAAGAAAAGCTCTTTGGTGCTGGTACACATTCTCATCCTCAGATGAAATGAATGTAAATGGATACAGAAAATAACCTATGGTGTTCTGTTGCCAGCTGATACGTTCAAGCTTTGGTAGAGGTGGGGATTTTGACCACCTAATACTTGTTTTCAAGGAAACTATTAAGATACCCTTTTCCACTCTCTTGCCCTAAGTTCTTTATTTGGTGGTAAGGAAAATAACAAAAGCAAGGAGTTCACAGAACTGGAAGTGGCAGCAGCATTTTGTCAGGTTGCTAATTACAGCAAACATTGTTTTAAATTCTCACCAGATTTGCCACTACTTCCCTTTGAACATGCAAGTGAATGAGAATTGCACTGGATACTCATGACTGTTACTGAAAGACTTTGCAGGGCTTTTGTACCATGAGCATATCTACATGGGATTTTCAGAAGAAGACATCAAAGTAGTCAGAAGGCAAATAACTCCCCAAAGTGAACAGAATGGTATTCCACCTTCAATAAACCCAGCTGAGAGGCCATGAAAGACAAACATACTCCAAGTCAAGTCCAGTATTTAAAATCTACATGAACATCTATTTTATAGACAAAATGATGGGCTGGCAGTCCCCAAGAACAGTGGAATTAGACAGTTAAACAATTAAGTACTGAACAAAAATCAATCACTTTTATACAAAGTTTATTAAAGATATCCAGAAGAATAAATCTGAAAAACCATGTAGCAAACAGTAATTTTAATTCAAGAGTACAAGGCAACTTAAAACACCTAGAGCATTTATATAGCTGACAAATAAAAATACAGTGGTAATTATCATCCCTGAGCAACACTGCATTTTAAATAGCGGAATAAACAAAGTTACCTAAATGTACCTCTGTACGCAGACGTAAAATTGTTAAAATTTGTTAAAAGGCAAAGACCTGAAGACAAGCAACTTGCCCTTTAAAGATGTGAAGTACAACTAGTTTTGGAAAACTGAAGTATTACATTTAAACAAATCAAGCTGTTAACTTACTCTACAAGCTACTTAACAGTAGTGCTAAATGTACTTTATTTTGGTTTGACTGATCCTTTGTACTGCATACTGACAGCAACTTTTTTCCTTAATGAAACAGCAGAAGCTTAAGACAATGTCTATCTTTTTTATTACTGAACATTTCATGTATTGTGTATTCAGCAATGTGTGAATTTGAAAGTCAGAATGAAGAACACAGTCTCCTCTAATGGTCCAGACTTCAGGCAACAGTCATAAGGAGTAAGTTTTAACAAGTTTCAATATCCAGCTTCTACATTCTCCTACTTTCCAAAGGTGTGGGTGTGAAAGTACTTAACACAAAGATCTATATAAAATGGTCTAGCAACTAGATGGTGTCCAGGTTTCCAGATATTTAAGTAGCTTAGTGAAGGTGAACAGAGAGACAATGTTATTTTATTTTCCCAACTGTGTATGACTAACACCATTTAAGGTAATACTAGCCTCTTTATTGCTGAGGAAGAAAAATGGCAACTTCATTAACAGGCACTGCTAAGAACGGAAAGTTAATTTACAGAAGAAAAACATCCTGAATACTGAAAAAGTAGTGCATACATCAAAAGAATTTACTTTGTGCTCTTAATTTGTTGTGTAGTGTTAGTATTGTTCATTATATTGCTGGTTATTCACATCTTGATCATCCATCTTTGGCTGTGGACAAACTGTATCAGCACAAATAGAATCTATTTCACTGATGGCACTGCCAAATTAACAATGACATAAACATCAACCAGCTTTCTAAGGCCCTTACCTTGATCCATATCTTTTTTCAAACACTAGCAGATCTGAAGTCAAGAGATTAGGTAATAAAATATTTCCTGCATGGTAACACACATAATATTAGAAATTTAATAGATCCAAGAAATGTCTCCTGTGTCATCTATGATAGTTTACAAGTACAAACACAGATACCATACAATATTTTTAGCTGTCAGTTCAAATTGAAAAATTGTAGTATTAAAAACTCGCAACACTTGAATTAAGTATCAATTACTTTCAAAACAACCAACCTGCTTTAAGCAGGAAGCTGGACTAGGTAACCTCTGGAGTCCCTAAATAGGATTTAGGGCTACATAACTGACTTATAACCCATCTGCTTAATATTGAAATATGAATAAAAGCTTTACAAAGCAGTGATGAAATGCTTTATGTTACTAAGAGAGGTAAAACCTATCTTTCAATTATTCACTAGTCAGTTGCTTTTTCCCCAGCCACTGGCTGACCTATGGTTATGTCCATTTGATTTATAAATCAGGTAGTCTAACAATTACAGTATCAGTTAGAGCAAGCAAGCAGTATTAGAAACAATAAAAGTACTGGAATGTAAGAAAAGTGACATCCACTTTGCAGGATAACAGTTACTTGAGTCCTTCACATGAAGCTGAAAGAAAAGAAAAACAAACCCAACCTTAACAAAAATGCTGTAAGGTTGTATATACTGCACAAGCTGTATCTTGTACTAATTCGATATTGATTAGTTAATGATTTTGCATCACCAAGTAATAATTTGGCCCTAATTATTAGACCAATAATTATTTGGCCTAATACAGAGTTAATAAATACTGTATAACAGAATTTACTTGGCTGTTCACATAGAAAACCAGAATGTTTTCTCAAGGTTCAGCTGTTCCGGGTATCTGTAATTCATTTGTACTTCTTACTTTCTGCATACAAATTAATGCAGAATGGTTGTTTTGGTCTGTTAATATAATCAGCTCTAACATACTGAAATGTGTCCTTTCCGCAGATCCTTTCAGTGCTCAGACAGAGCATAGCTAATGACAGTACAAACAAACACAATTTGAAGAAGTTTGCATTAACCAGTGTGACTGAAGCTCCCATAATATCGTAAAGAGGTTCTGAAGTATTGTATTTTTCAGAAGTCTATAGGTGTTGTCAGAGCATGACCTAAGCTAATTACTTCCTTAAAAAAATCAGGTTTCTTGATTGTCTAGAAAATAGGGAAAAAAATGCAACACTAGTTTCAGTTTGTTTATGCAAACAACAGCTGTGTTTCAATGTCCCAGCCATTAAATATTTTTTGCCTACAACTCTGGCACTACAAGAGGCTACGCTCAAAATCCAGCACTGCCTCATTCTTCTTGCTGCACTCGTAAAAATGCTGGGGGACTTCCTCACTGGAAAGGATTTGTGATGGCAAGCAAAACCAAACAGGCTTCCCCACATTCCCTTGAGAAGTACAGCAAACAAGACCTGCTGAAGAAGTCACTTCAGTGGATGATGTAGATGCCTGTGATACAGGGGACATCCCTCACCCTATTTACTGAGCAGTCTTTGACGTCTTCCTTAAGCTTTTTCCATTTCCCAGGATTCATCTGAATAGTATATCCTAACAAAAGATGCAAGAACCCCTTTTCAACATGGCAGTTATTGAGAATGAATTTTTCAAGTCAACAAAATATCTGGTTTTGCTTTTGAAAGGTTGTTTTTTAGGAAGAACAAATTACTTCAGATATCTGGCAGTTTTCCAGATAGCAGGTTGATTTGGACTGTTCATTGCAGAAAATGAAAACGGCATACTTAAAGACAAAGGATTTGAATTAAAAAAAAAAAAAAAAAAAAACCACCCCCCCCCCCCAGTTGCATATGGATGTTAACAGCCTCTCCCCTTTACTATCAGGTCAAGCAACTTCACTAAGAAGTTTTCCCAGTAGGGGTAAAAGCTGCAGGTATTTGGCCTGTACTCCCTAAAACCATCCATTCTCACTAATTGCTTCTTTTCACTGTCTAGAACAGAATCTTAGAGAAGAGAAGAAGGATATTCTTCCCCTTAGGATACTTGCACGTTCTCCGGTTACTGTGTATGCCACAAAATATAAATATTCTAAAGTGTACACAAAACATAGAGAAGGAGTCCTTAAAGGGTCTTACAATCCTTAAATGTCTAACAAAGCAGTTCATGCAACAAGACAAATATTTTTATGTGCTTAAACAATTCAATTATTTACCTGAAGGACTTATCCCAGGAGTGACACAAGCATCACAACACCCATAAACTGAATGAAGAGCAACAAAGGTGTCATAAAGGACCAGACAGGCCACAAGGCAACGTTGAAACTGGGAATAAAAGCAGGAAGTTTTTGGTAAGTTCAACTGTCATACTATGGAAATACCAGCCATACAAAAAAAATATACCACAAGAGGAAATGAGATTTAAATTACTCAACCCGGAAAAATACTTGTTTCTTTATGGTATGGATGAAAAGACCCCAGCACCTACTTATTAAATTGGTAGTTTAGTTTACTGTTTGTTTACTAAAACTCATCCCAGAACTTCAGTAGCTGCTGCAGATTTTACACCGACCAAGTCCACTCAGTCCCATCAAGGGTAAAGATACCTTTTACTTTCAGAATCTCTGTATATGAAGCACCTGAAAATGAACTACTCTTGATTTTTTCCATGGGCATACATGGCAACTGAGAAAAGCTTTAATTTGTACTTCCAGCCAAGCAAATTTGAGGTAACTGAAGAGGAAGAGGGAAAACCAACTTATTTTACAACTGAACTACAAGGATTATAGATTTGACTAATTCTAAACTATAGGGAACCTTTATCTTCTTTGGTCTTCCTTTTTTTCCCAGCATTGCAACAAATAGTGACTGACATTATTCAGATACAACATCTAAACTTAAAAGAGAGAACCAGTTTTCATGCAGAAAGCAAATAGATATACTGGCACACATGTATGTAATTTCTTCATTCACATGCACATTTGCTCAATTCTGACTCCTATAATCTCATAAATAAAGTAGCTCTTACTATAAGTACCATTCTCTGACAAGATAGAAACCCTTAAGGTTCATACAACAATAGCTACAAGTATAAATTTCAGTATATGTTTGCTATTTATAGATTGTTTGATAATGAAGAACTCAGTATTAGAAACTGATCAGGCATAATTTTTTCTCAGCTAGAGAACACACCTTTGTCTTAATTTATGAACCTCACAAACAGTTGTCAGAGGTGAGCAATTTACACTAACACAGGACTTTAGTTTTCCCATAAATTTTCAAGACAGAAAAGATCCAGCACACCTAAAACTACACTTAAAATGTACAGTTTCAAGAGTTGCAACTCTCACTTTGTGGATGAATGTTGAAAGTGGAAGAAATTATGCTATGTAGAGCTGATATTGTCACCAATACACTTAGTAGAACTAGAGAAATTATACTTTTTATAAAACGAGCCCATTAACACAGACTTGCAGAGGTTTAGCAGAAGTTTGTACACAGTGTTCAAACCTACCAAATTGCTGCTGCAATGAAGGTAGCTGTTGTGATAGGTATCAGTGCTGGATACTGTGTGTCGTAGTCCTCAATTCCACAATACCACTCAAGATAGAGTATGCAGTAAAAGGCAACAGATAAACATGCAGCCAATAAACAACTGCCAGAGGCAAACCACCAACTGTGGGGGGGAAAGCATGTTAAAGCATATTAAGGACATTCACACTGCAGTTTGCACATTAATCTTCATTCTACTCTAGAAACAGAACAGACAATACCTGTTAATTATACAGATTGGCCTAGAGTTTCTGTAGTTTTTTTCTTAAATTACTTTTACAAAACACACTTTTTGCCCTTCTAAAGCTGTCTAAAATACATAACTAATTTAGTTTTATTTTGCAATGCAACATTCCTGTCAAATTATTTTTCCCTCAAATATTTTGGAACCGCAATGCAACAGACCTTGTCAGTGATTTACTATACTACCACACCAAAAATACTTTGTCAGCAGTGAAATAAAATAGGCTCCACTGCAACTGTGCTTCTCACTATAAATTAGACTACTGATTTTTGTGCAACAGAAATGTTGCAGAAAGCTTTAATAAGGTTTCGAGTTTATGAACTCTCAAATTTAGCAGACAAGAAGCATGAAGATTCTTCTTTACAGCAGCTGAAGAAAACTATAGAGAAATCCAGGATTTCAAACTCAGAATCAAGAAAACATGAGGTATGTGATTATTTAGGAAGAAGCACTTTTGAGCCTCTTTGAGGATGTACTTCAAGAGTAAGATGGGAAAGACAACTGGGGAGGAAGGTGCACTTTAATAAAATCTTATACTTATCTGAATGTATATTTAGCAAATGAAAATTTTAAAAAGTGAACTCTTACTACCATAGTTCGATTGCTAAACTACAAAGGGTAATCAACTACTCAGGTAACATTTGCTCTGGTATGGTACAGCAAACCTCTTATGCTATTTTGGTTCCTCAGTACTACCAATTAAGACATCTGCATTAAGAAAGCAGTTGCCATAGTCTACCTAAAAAAGCAATGCAGGAAGACAGGGTCCTGCAGGGAGCAGACGGGGCTACCCAAAACCTTGATCACATCCTGGAGTCACTAGTTTGTATCCACAGCCAACTGGACATAGGTTGTATCTAGACCAGCCTGGAAGAGCAGCTCCAGAGAACCTCACAGCACAGAGCAAGGCCCTGTTCAGCTTCCATGTACTGATACAAAATGACAATGAGAGAGTTTCAAAAGCACTTCCAGGTAAAGCTATCCAAAAATATTTAACATCCATCAATCCCATTGAAAATAATTTAATAGAAAAGAAATAGAGCATAAATAGAAATTATTTCACTAATCTTTCACTTGTCTATTCAAAGAAGTCTAGAGAACTTCTAGAGAAATAAACTTCATTTTAACATTTAAAGATTAATTTCAGCTTTTTATGATTAAAACAAAATCAAACCACCAGCAGTTTCAACAAAACAGGCAGCAATTTCTTGTACTTAAGCGTAAACTTGAAGGAGACTTGAAGGTGACCTAGAGCGGGTTGCCCAGGATCATGTCCAGATGGCTTTTGAGTATCTCCAAGGATGGAGACTCCATGACCTCTCTGGGCAACCCATGCCAGTGCTTGGTCACCCTCACAGGAAAAAATACCCAACTGTTTCCTGATGTTCAGAGGGAACCTCCTGTGTATCAATTTGTGTCCACTGCCTCTGGTCCTGTCACTGGGCACAACTGAAAAGAGCCTGGCTCTGTCTTTGCACCCTCCCTTCAGATATTTATATACATTGATAAGATCCCCCTCAGCCTTCTCTTCTCCAGGCTGATCAGTCCCAGCCCTCTCTATTCCTATTGTAGATCTTGTTTATCCAAGATTTAAAACGCAGTGTTCAAACATAACAAACTGAATATGACCATAAGAAGAAAACACCACTTTCTTTGTAAGAAAAGGTACCTTACCTATCTGCTTGAATAGTTTCTTTAACAGTTTTAAAAAAATCAAAGTAGTATGTCACAGCAATTGATGCCAAAATCCAGAATGCAGAATGAATATTCAGTCTGGTAAGAGGCTTCCTCTTCTTCTCTACAGCTGTAGACTCTTCTGTAAATAAGAACATAATTATAGCACTAAAGCCAGTCATTAAATGGAGTATGATTATAGTTACGTAAAACATGATGCTTTATCCTTTTAATTCATTTATCTTTGGAGATTATTATAGTCAGTATAATACACTTTGTATTACAGAGGAAGTATTAGAAAAAGCTCTGCACATTTCCTGTAATAAGACTGAGCAAGGTAGCCTTTGATAAAACGATAAAAGCAGTTAACAACCAGCACATACTGTGTTTGCGTACCCTTTTAGGAACCTAACAGCTGACTACATTACAAAAGGGTTATTTAACTAATTAAAAACCTCCTGGTGTTATTAAAACATTATTATTAATCTAGCATACAGAAAGTCAGGGAGGTATTTCCAATTACTAATTTATTCACATCCTTTTTTGTTAATTTTAATCCTTGCAAACTGATTTCAGGCATAAATAATTTTCTTGTTCTCAACTGCAGTTACTTCACAAGAGATTTTCAACTTTAGTTTCAGGAGCTAGCTTGATTCATGCTGCATACCTTCAGCAGATAAACTAAAACTATCATTATGCAAAAAAGGATCTGCCGTTTTTTCCCTCATCACCATATATTGTTTTAGAGAAAGCAAGACAACAGAGCAAGCAGCTTTGAAAGCATATTTTTGTGTATGACGGTAACCAACTAACACACTCAATACTTATACACGCTGTCAAAAAAAGGTGTCAAAGGTGCCTTTGATGTTTCATACTTTGAACTTTATCACTAAAAGTTATTGGTGGCCTGTGGGCCTCCAGCAGTGTACGGTATACTGGCTCCTCCACATGCATTACCACCAGCCGAGCGTACTAACAGCTCTGCTGGCGTTTACAGGCATTTTTATTTTTTATTTCCTAGATTATTCCTCATCTACTAGAGCTCGGGTCTGGAGCATGGAAGCATTTCATCCCCCACCAAGAAACCCGCGGTTGCAAGTCTTTTACGCAACTCACGCCTCCCTTTTCACATCCAACGCGCTGTTAGGAGCGGAGACCCGAGGGACGACGAGCTGGCTGCCAGCAGGCGGTACCCCACCGAGGAGTCCCCTCGCTCCAGCCGCGAGCAGGGTCCGTCCCCTTCCCCGCTCCCGCTCCCGCCGCGGGGGCAGCGCTCCCCGCCCGGACATTCCTGTC